CCCACCCTCCCCACACCTTCCACCCTTCCTTCCCCGCCTCCTGTCCCCTCCCTGGGTTTGGTGCTCACCTTCCATTCCCCCTTCTTCTTCACTTTCCGGATCACATCGTGCATAATCTCTGGAAGAAAAGGGGATATGGGCAATGGTGAGACCCCAGTTTCCCTCCTACAGCACCCCAGGGCCTGCTGGCAGCAGCAGGGGCTGCACTGGGGGCACCAATCCCCCACCCATGTGCAGGGTCACGCTGAGCCCCGCTCACCCTGTGCCTCAGTGGGGGATGGAGAAGGGGAGGGAGGTGGTTTTGGGGTGCCCAGGGAGGGGTGGTCACCCCCCAGCCCTGTTTTTTCTCTCATGCTTGGCACTCACAGACAGACCCCAGGCTGGTGGGGAGCATGTGCTGGTTGGGGGGTCCCTCTGGGGAGCCTGGGGGCCGCCCCATGAGGTTCAGCCCTAATCCAAAGTGCTGGGAAAACAACAGCAGCTTAAGAGCTCCTTTTAGAAACAAGAATCAAGCGGCCTGAGCCTGCTCCTTGTAATCCCTCACAATCCCATTTCACCTCCCGTGGCTGCTGGCCTTATGCAACCAGGCAGGACAGCAGCACCCCTGGGAGCACCCCAAATTCCCCTGCTCCTGCCCCAGAGCAGCTCCCTGGGAGAGGCAGGTCAGGGACATGAGGAGGTGGCAGTGGGATGACCTTTGGGCTGCAGGAAGAGGGGTTCAAGCCCTGCCCTCCTGCCAGGGCTGCCCAAACCTCTGTTCTGGGGGAACAAGGTGCCCCCCAAACGCTGCAGGACCCCTTTCACCCTGGTGTGTGAGCCACTGTCCCTCACAGAGCTGAGTCTGGGGAAAGGAGCCTGTGCCATGGCCTCACACAGCATTTCCCCTGGACTTCATCCCTGCAGGAGCTCCCAGGGAAAGGGAGCTCCAGCATCACCCCACAGCTCCAGCATCACCCCACAGACCCCAGCATCACCCCACAGACCCCAGCATCACCCCACAGACCCCAGTATCATCCCATCCCACAGGCTCTGTCCCAGTAAAGCACAGGGGGCCATGGTGGTGCACCATGGAAGGGGTCAACGAAAAGCAAGGAAGGAAAGAAGGACGGAAGAGAAGAAGGAAGAGCATCCTGTGGCCCAGGGGATGGTGTTCCCACAGCAAAAGTGGGCCCAAGGGCAGAAGATCCCAAAAAGAGCTCCCAAATTGCTGCCTCAGCCCCCCCCGAGGCTGTCCTTGCTGCAGCAGCAGCTGCAGGGGACAGTGTGGCTTTGTGGGAACACCGTGTCCCTCCTGCACAGGGCTGGATGGAGGATGCTTGGCAGGGGGAGCATTTTCCTGGCTGCAAAAAGCGCTGCCACATCCCCAGCCCGACCCTGGAATCAGGATGGGCCTCTCAGAGCAGGAACTGGGCACCTCAAAGGGTAACTTCTCTGAGCTTTGTAGGTTTAGGGTGCCAATCCCTAAATCCCTGATCCCCAGGCACAGTCATTCCCTACAGCCATGCCCTCTCCACGGGTCAGATGGGACACCAAATTCTGGTTCTTCCACAGGCTGCCAGAGCCAGCTCAGAGCCCAGGCAGGGTCAGGAAAGAGGCAGATCCACAGAGCATCCTCCAAAGAGCTCCAGGGTCCTGCCAAAGGGCACAAACTCGAGCAGAAGCTGGAGACTGGTGTCACATTTAGGGAGATGCGGCCTCCTGGGTGTCCCTGCAGCAGCCATGAAAGCCCAGCTTAGGGAAGAGTGCTCTGGACTCCCAGGGGAAATGGGAGGTCCTGAGGTCCCAAGGTGCTCAAGACATGCCCAGTCTCCTCCCAGAACAGCAGGCCAGATATTGCTGTCCATGCCCTCAAACATCTGGCCAGACAGAGTTTTTAGGATCTAACATCAGTTGGTGATGCTCACAGCCAAGTTTTTCATCTTGGAGATAAAAACAGGTTTGAGGGGAAAAAACAAAAAATCCATATGAGCAAATCATCCAGTGCCTCCAACACTTGGCTTGTCTGGACCTACCACGTCACATCTGCTTCCTTCAGGATGCAGGAATTTTACTGACAACTTCTCCCAAGGCCAGGGAACACAGACAGCTCTGGATCCTGCACCAGCAGCAGAGCTTGGTGAGAGGGCAGCACATCTCTGCTGCGAATGGAGAACCTCTGGAGCAGGATGGACCCACTTTGGGGTTCCCCAAGAGGTGGACCCACTTTGGGGTTCCCAAGTTATGGACCCACTTTGGGGTTCCCCAAGAGAAGGAAAGATTTTGGGGTTCTCCTAAAGATGGGATGTTTTTGGGGTTCCCCGAAGATGGATGCATTTTGGGATGCCCCAAGAGATGGATCCTGTTAACGATGTCCAAAGTGATGGCCCCATTTTGGGGTTCCCCAAGAGATGGACCCATTTAGGGGTTCCTCAAACCCGTTATCCTGCTTCAGAACAGGCCTGGAAGCTGATGAGCAGCCCTGACCTCCCCTGGAGGAGTGGTAAAGCCTTGTCCAGGCCAGCACCCCATGCAGGGACACTCCAGCTGCGGGGCTGACCCCAGTGCCAGCAACCATGGCCAAGCCCTTCCCTCCTGGAAATTCCTGCTGCCCAGAAATGCTCCTTCACTGCCACACCCCAGGACCTCACCGGTGGCCTGGTGTGGCACAGGAAGTTGGAGCTGCTTTATGGATGGGCAGGAATTGACCCCAACCATGAGCTGTGCCTCGGGACCCCAAATCCCCGCGCGGCTCCGGAGAGCTGGATCACAGAAATGCACGGCGAGGTTTGCTGGAGTCCCACTTCTCCTAAAAAAGCTGTCAGGCTGCATCTCCCAGACGGACACGCTTGGCTTTGGGTTGGCCTGGCAACTGCATTTGTGCTGGTTCATTAACTAATTGCTCAAGCCAGTGTGAATGTTGCGCTGATCCAGGCACGGCTGGACGGAGCGGAGCACGTCCCCATCTCCAAACCGCCCCAGCCGGGGCTCTGCAGCTGCCATCCCCAAATCCAGCAGGCAGCAGGGACCTGAGGGTGGCAGGAATGGCCCTCCACGGCCACCAGCACCACCCAGCACGTGGACATCACCCAGAGGTGACAAAGCCTGGCTGATGTCCCTCAGCACGGCTAAGAACCATCCACGATCTGAGTCTGGACACTGCTGTGCCCAGAACCCAAACAAGTCTCAAACACCTCCCCTTCAGCCATTGTTGAACACCCATTTTTCCCAGTGGATTATGCCCACCTGGAAGCCCTCAGCCTTCCTGGAGGCCACATTCCTCACCCAGGAATCCAGGGATTAGTCCCAGTCATGATGTTAACCTGTCTTTAATTCCTCCTTTTCCTGCCTCTCATGAAGGATGTCATATTTATCCCTGCTGGGCAAGGCCTTGGGAAAGCTGCACAGGATGGAGACCTGCAGCTCTTGAACTCTGCAGAAGTTGAGTAACACAGCCAGAAGTGAAAAAGGGAAATGAAATGTATGATCACACCCGTGAACCCTCCGAGTGCCCTTGAGAAACAGAGGAAAATTCTCGAGGTTTCCAGTGCAGGATCAGGCACAGGGTGATGGTTGGGCTGTCCTGTGCAGGGACAGCAGCTGAACCTTGGCAATCTTTGTGGGTCCCTTCCAGCTCAGGACATTCTGTACATGGTTATTAAACATGGTTATTTATGACAGTAACTCCAGACAATTTCCACAAGGATCTGGGAGTTGAGCAGAGTTTCCCTCTTCAGATACAACCAATGACCCACAGCCCTTCAGGCACCAGACTTCACCAACATTTGTCCTCCAGATGTTTCCACCCCCAGCAGATGCTGGCCTGTGCTGCTGGTGGTGTGGCCAATGCTGGTGGTGCCTCAGTGCCAAGAGGAGCCCAGAGCTGCCCTGCAGCAGGACAGAACTCAGACAGTGTCACAGTGTCCCCGAGGAGAGGTGACCCCCACACTCCTACGTGTGGCCATGGCTTCCTGAGCCGCTTCTTCTCTGCCTTGAACCAAAACCGAGGAAAACACCAACAAATTGTGGTTCTTCGGTGGGAATCCAGGCTGGGCTGGTCTCCTGTGCCCTCAGGGACACCAGGGCAGGCTGGAGGGCAGCTGGCACGTGGCTGAGAGGTCCTTGCTGCTCCCTGATCCACGGCCAAAGCACCTGATGGGCTCCACTGAAGACGCTCCAGCAGAGGTGTGCGCGCATTCCCGCGTTCCGTGGGCACATTCCCAGCTTCTCTCCCATCCTGGGGGATGTGGGAGCCCACAAATGGAAGCACCTTCAGCCCTGCTCTATTTTTGCACTCTCCAGAGCCAAGCTCCTTCCCCGCACCGTGAGTTGGAGGGAGCAGCATCTGCTCCTCAGCGTGCGACCAAAAGCCTTGTGATGGTGATGATTCTCCTTCCAAAGGTGTTGATTTTGTGGGAAGAAGGAAGGAATTTCTCCTGGGACATTTTCTCCAGGAGATGCAGAGGAATCAGACACAGACATTACTTATTTTTCTCTTTTTAAGAAGGAAAAAGTCTAAATCCTCTCAGTTAGAGGCTTTTTTAACCTTCTTGCCCGTGCTGACACTGGTGAGTGGATGCCAAACTGAGGTTTGTCACTCTTGGTCACCTTCCACGGTCACATATGGGCAGGAGTTTCTCAGCCTCTGGTGCAGACTGTGGTCTGGAGATTGAAATTGTTCTGCAGCACCTGAGATGGTGAACGCTGAATTTTTACAATTCTATTTTTTCCAAGCTTTTCCAACTTCGAGCCGGCTCCGTGAGGAGGTGAGACACAACCTGGGGACAGAGCTGCAGCCCCAGCAGAGGCTTTGCCCATTCCTGTACCCACACACCAGGCTGGTGGCACCACAGGGACACCTGGAAAGCAGGAACTGGGAGTTTGGGCTGCCCAGGGAGCCACTGGATTCAGGGTGTGCTCCCACCCATGGTGGAGGCTTCCTGCTCCTCACCCATCCACTTCTGCAGGCTGAAGTCACAGCTGTGCCCTGCACAGGCAAGGAGATGCCATGGGCACCCTCCAATGGTCCCTGTGCCCTTCACTGCCTCCTCTTCCTCTCGGCCTGCACAGCCCTTGCCAGGCCTGGCACGGGCAGCACACCAGCCTGGTCCCCCGGGCACTGAGACGGGCTCAGAACATCCTCCAGGAGCAGCACCTGACCCTCCAGGGCTCCCCGTGCCCTCAGCAGCTGC